ACCACATCATCTGCAAAAGCTCCTCAGGCCTCCAAAACAGATGCCCTCCACACATTCGCTGCACCTACAAATCTTGTCCATAAAGGTTATGAACAGAATCGGTGACAAAGGGCAGCCTTGGCGGAGTCCAACTCTCACTGGGAACGAGCCCGACTTACTGCCGGCAATGCGGACCAAGCTCTGACACTGTCATACAGGGACCTAACAGCCCGTATCAGAGGGCCTGGTACCCCATACTCCCAGAGTACCCCCCACAGGACCCCCCGAGGGACACAGTCAAACGCCTTCTCCAAATCCACAAAACACATGTAGACTTATTGGGCAAATTCCCACGCACCCTCCAAGATCCCCCTAAGGGTATAGAGCTGGTCCAGTGTTCCAGGGGCCAGGACGAAAACCACATTGCTCCTCCTGAATCTGAGGTTCAACAATCCGACGGGCCCTCCTCTCCAGAAATCCTGAATAGACCTTACCAGGAAGGCTCAGGAGTGTGATCCCCCTGTAGTTGGAACACACCCTGCTGTCCCCCTTTACAAATAAGGGGACCACCACTCTGGTCTACCAGTCCAGTGGGACTGCCCTGATGTCCACGCGATATTGCAGAGCCACGTCAGCCAACACAGCCCCACAACATCCAGAGCCTTAAGGAACTCCGGGCAGATCTCATCCACCCCTGGAGCCTTGCCACAGAGGAGCTTTTTAACCACCTCAGTGACCTCAGCACCAGAGATTTGTGAGGCCAACCCAAGGTCCCCAGACTCTGCTTCCTCACTGGAAGATGTGTCGGTGGGATTGAGGAGGTCTTTGAAATATTCTGCCCACCGATCCACAACGTCCTGAGTAGAGGTCGGCAGCACACCATCCCCACTATAGATACTATTGGTAGCACACTGCAGTTGACAGCTCTGCCCCTTTCTTCACCCGAGTGTCTAAGACATGCGGCCGCAGGTCAGATGAAACAACCACAAAATCGATCATCGAGCTGCAGCATAAGGTATCCTGGCGCCAAGAGCACATATGGACACCTTTTTGTCTGAACATGGTGTTCATTATGGACAATCCATGACTAGCACAGAAGTCCAATAAAAAAACACCACTCAAATTCAGATCAAGGGGGGCCGTTCCTCCCAACCACAACTCTCGAGGTCTCACTGTCATTGCCCACGTGAGCGTTAAAGTCCCCCAGCAGAACGAGGGAGTCACCGGAAGGAGCGCTTTCCAGCACCCCCTCCAAGGTCTCCAAAAAGGGTGGGTAGTCTGAGCTGTAGTTTGGTGCATAAGCACAGACCACAGTCAGAACCCGTCCCCCCACATGTAGGCGGAGGGAGGCTACCCTCTCATAAACCCCAACGTACAGGCACCAAGATGGGGGGCAACTAGTATGCCCACCCCTGCTCGGCACCTCTCAGTGGGAGCAACTCCAGAGTGGTAGAAAGTCCAACCCCTCTCAAGGAAACTGGTTTCAGAGCCAGAGCCATGTGTTGAGGTGAGTCCGACTATATTTAGTCGGAACCTCTCAACCTCACACACCAACTCAGGCTCCTTCTCCACCAGAGAGGTGACATTCCATGTTTCAAGAGCCAGCTTCTGTAGCCGAGGATCAGACCGCCAAGGTCCCCACCCTCGACTACCACCCGTCACACACTGCACCCGACCCTTTTGGCCCCTCCCACGAGTGGTGAGCCCATGGGAAGGGGGACCCACGTTTCCTCTTCTGGATCCCCGTGACAATTCTTTTCACATTTGGACATTAGTCCTTTAATCTGATTAAGCTGTTTAATACAAACACTTTGTGAGCTGATACAGAAACATTAATGAGAACAGGTTGTGCTGCTAAAACATAGAAAAGTTCAGTGCAAAATTCCTGATGACTTCTCCTTAGCAATCTGTAATGGTTTGAACTCATGTATTCAGGCTTCCTGAATGAAAATCCATCCATCCTTTGTCTGAACCCGCTTTGTCCACGTGGGGCCGCGTGCAGGGGGGGGGGGGGGGGGGGGGGGGGTTACCTCCAGCGGTCAACGGGCAATCAGGCGGGGTACACTCAGGACAAACAATCACACACACACGCACGCACACACACACACACACACACACACACACACACACACACACACACACACACACACACACACACACACACACACACACACACACACACACACACCTAAGGACAATTTAGACAGACCAATTAACCTAACAGTCATGTTTTTGGACTGTGGGGGGAAGTCGGAGTACCCGGAGAGAACCCACGCATGCACAGGGAGAACATGCAAACTCCATCCAGAAAGATCCCAGGCTGGGAAGCGAACCGAGGACCTTCTTGCTGCCAGGCAACAGCTCTAACCACTGTGCAGCCCGAATGAAAATCATAACATGAAAAAAAGAAATCTGTGAATATTGGCTGTGTTCTCACCCATTACTGGTTCATGACCCGAACATGCTTAAGGTGAAGCAAAAAAAAAAAAAATAAATAAAAAATAAATAAATAAAACGAAGCACAAAATGCTTTGTGTCTCATTCCTGAGCAGAGCTGTGTAGAATCCCATAAGTAAAAGCTTTTTTATATGAAAAATAAATGTTCTGAAAAGAGTTTCAATCAATCAATAAATAAAAGAGCTGGTGTTCAGCAGCGCCCTGACACACATGTCTATGAGAGAGTGTGTGGATCTGACAGCAGAGAGGAGAGCGCAGCCTTTAATAGGTCAGAAACAGTTGGTGTACAAATACACTGGACAAATCAACGGATGATTCAACACCTGATTATTAAAATATTCAACATCTGCAGCCCAACAACTTACTGACCACTTATTGACCGATTTGAGAAAAGGCTTTCTGTCACCAGTTTGTTAAAATCAGGTCTCTTTTTCCATATATTTTCAATTTTTTCCATTCTAGTTTTGTATATTTTATTTCTTCACTTCAATCAATAAATAGAAAACAAAGATGACAAAGTAAAACGACACAGAGTTTGACTCATGCTCTTTAGTTGAAACAAGGAAATGCCGGTTACTCATGTTCCCGTGAATATTCTGATTTGCATATTCAGGTTTCTCATCAGGCATGCACAATCCCTTTCAATATTTCAGACGTCTTGACTTTCTCTCTTCCCACTCTGGTGATCAGTCTTTTTGAAACATTAAAACGAAGATAGTAAAATTGCTCTAAAAGGAAACAAATTAAAGCAGTTTAACCTTAACAGCAAAAAATAAATAACCACACACACACAAAAAAATAAACTTAGACCAGCTTCTTTGTCTATGGCTTAACCAACATAAAAAATAAGTCTTGTGATTGAGTAAATTTTTAAATTTAATACTTCTTACTCTTGTTCTTTTACTTGTGTAAACAATTTGACAGCAAAGCTATTTAACAACATTTTGCTCATAAATCTGACTTGACAACCTGTTGTAAGCTACTATGATCTTTATGAGCAGACGGTGCTCAGGAACTGTTGCTTAACTGCAACAAAAGAGCAGTTCAGGTAGAATATTAAAGCTTATGAAACCATTTATTTCAGTAATCTAGCTTAAACTGTGAATCTAATACTTCAGCCAGCTGTCCATTGAGGATATCGGAGACGTGTGGATATTCGGCCTGATGATCACTGGATTTCTCCTGATTGGAGTGGGAGGATATCTGCTTTGCTGGAAATTTGGGAAGACGGGAGCAATTGGAGGGCGACCCACGCCCACGGAAAGCACCGTCCATGTGGATACTTCAAAGACTGGGACGTTACTCGAGGTGAATCGTAAGCTGGACAATGTTCTAGCTGCGATACCGGTATTAGTGCGCAAAATGGATGTCATCTTGGAGAGAGTCACCGGACGGTATGGACAGGTTTAAAAACCCAAAATTGGATTCATTGAAGGACTGGAATGGTCAGTTTAAAGACTGAAGGCAGAGAGGGAAATTATCTCAGCCTGACCCAAACAAATTCTTGTTATCCGAATCTGACGCCCTGGTAGCCTTGAGCGGAGAGCAAATAAAACCCCCATGAAGGAATGCAGACAGATGCTGTGAAAACCCAACCTACACCCCCCCCCCCCCCCCCCCCCCCCCTTCAGATTGGGGGACTTCAGCCTGGCGAGGTCATCAGTCTGTAGGAGTCAATGTACTCTTTGCTTCTTCCAAGATCTCCCTCCCACCTGTGACTGTACAGCAGATGAGCGGCGTAGATGCCCCCCCCTCCTATTGGAGTCTCATGTTATGTTGTGTTGTCTGAAGTCTGTTGCATATCTGTCTGAGGTCTTTTTTTTTTGCAGAGCAAAGCTGCTCTCCCGGTGGAGGGTAACTCTGAAGAGGCTTTTTTTCCCTCCACCTGAACCAATCCTCATGTAACCTTCTTATCTCTATTAAGGTAGCGCGACTTGGGTTGCGAATGACCACAGTCATCAATTCTTGTCGTGTGTCTTGCCCATGTATGTGTGATCTCTGAATTGTGTGTACTGAAACTCTAATTTCCCTCTGGGATTAATAAAGTATTGATTGATTGATTGATTGATTGATTGATTGATTGATTAATATATGAGACAAACTCATCACATGCAAAGCCAGATTTTTCAAGCCTTTATTTGTTTTAATTGTGGTGATTATGGCTTACAGCTTTTGAAAGCCCCACATTCGGTCTCAGATATTTAGAATATTGTGAAAATGTTGAATATTCTAGAGTCAAAGTATAATCAGATAATGAACCCAAAACACTCGCAGGGTTCCTTTAGATGGTCTCTCAGTCTAAGCTGAATTACTGACATAAATGGATTCTGTACCATATTCTCATTTTTCATGGGTTATCTGCAACATGACATGTACACAAGCATGAGCATCTAAACACGCTCACTGTCTCTTCCAATCAGTCCCAATTCATAAAACATAAATATTAATTTGGCTGTAAAACATTTTTTTTCTTTATCAGGAACACATAATGAAAAATGATCACCGTGACAAGTAGCCTTTGAACTTTGGACAATATATCCACAGCTACTGTGAGAACCACAACATAATGAACACTTCCTTTATTGGTACTTCTCTTGATTTTCTCGGGGAGTTAGAAGGTAAGTCAGCGCACCTCTTCGGCCCTGATCAAAGGTGCTGAGGGCGGCTTCATCTACTGAGAGAAGAGGAAAGGGAGGGGAAGAAAGGCACGCAAGACAAACATAAAAAAGGACAATTAATTACTTTTAGCAATGAGCTTTGCCACAAATAAATGTGTAAAAGAATGAACTTGACTTAAGGGAAGCAGACCAATAAGAAGCTCAAAGTGTGGCATCGTCTCATCTTTATAAATATGTTTCTTTCTTTGGCTGCACACCAACATTCGTGCAACAGCAAGGGTTCAGTTGGACCTATCAAATGCAAAGTGATGTGATGATTTTCAGAAGATTTATTTAGAAACTTGGGGAGAAAATCAAATATCTATTTTAAGTCCCCGTGAACATGGCTGCCACTGATCGTTCTCGTGTTTTATAAATGAGGATGAGGGTGTGCTTTTATCCTTTATAATTCACAAATACACTAACACAGTGCAATTACCGTGTGTGTGCGTGTGTGTGTGTGTGCGTGTGTGTGTGTGTGCGTGTGTGTGTGTGTGTGTGGGGGGGTTATAGAGCGGTGAATTGCTCTTTTCATGAGTGACTCTGACAGGTTTCTCATCAGGCCCTGAAGCCTTGACTCCGTTAGACACCATGAACAACACTGTCTTCAAACAGCACACACACACACTAATGCATGCTTTATTGGGTGAAGGTGGATTTTCTGTAAAACTTCAGTTTACTGGAGCAGCACTTGGTACCACACACGTGCACGTGTTTGTGCGTCTGCTCCGGCTGCTGGAACCAAGTGGGGCTCTTAATCATGGCTGTAACGGCCAACATTACCGGCAGCAACAGCGGGCTAATGATGAATGCCCGACCCACTGTGAAAAACCTGACCTCCTTTTCTGCTGCGATGCACAAAAAGCTCTTGTTCTTTCAGCGATGGACACAAAAACACCAGCGGTAAAGTGCACGCACAGGTAAAAGCCAGCTTCGTTGCATCCATCTTAGCAAAATCACAACTACTGAGTCAAAGAAACAGAAAAAAATGCACCCACCGTCAAACCCCCACTTTGCTCTTGCTTGTGTGATCTTGTCGTTGGCCTAGTTGTTAGGGGAATGCAACGTGCAGATGTGACTGTGTGTGCTTTGACCTGTTCTTCAACTTCCCCACTCAACCAATTACTTGGATCATAAAGACAGCTGCACAACAGCAAGACAGAACTCTAAAAAATGATCTCAACGTTTCAAGAAGCCAGCAGGAGAAATCCTGATGGATGAGGAAAACGAGACAAATAAGTGGCGTAACATATAAGGTAAATGGACCAGAATAAGATGATAATAATAGGGAAGAAAAACATCAAAACGAGAGAGAGAGAGAGAGAGAGAGAGAGAGAGAGACAAGAGACAGATGTTTAAAAAAACAAGGAAGAATTTGTAACAAAGGTGGTGAATAGTTCTAAATGAAAATAAAGTTTCAATGAAGGACAAACTAATGTCAGGGACTGGGGCGGTTCGAGGTTCTTGCTCTGCGGCTACCACATGTGATCCCGCCTGTCACTCACACTCCATCGCCATGACAATCATCATAATGTCGACGCCTGGAGGTGGGGACGAGCCTGTCCTTGTAACAAACAGAAGCCTTCCTCGATCTGACACTAACAACTCCTGAGAAAATCTCCCACAGACACACACACACACACACGCACACACTTATATCAAAAATAAAAGCGCAGAAAAATCAGAGCCTGTTCCGTTTAGATTTACTTTGAAAGCTTTATTCATCAGCAACAATGATGTGATGTGAGATGTTACTGTCACCGATTTTAGACCCGTTGCATGTGCTGTCAAACACACTCATGCTGCAAAATGCAGCATGGGGCTGCCTGCTTGTGTAGACAGCAGTGTGTGTGTAGATGTATACAAATCTGTAAAGTACAATAATACATATTCACAGATGATAGACAGTTGAAACAGGAACAGAGAGAGGCATTGTGAACATGTGTGTGTGTGTGTGTGTGTGTGTGTGTGTGTGTGTGTGTGTGTGTGTGTGTGTGCATGCATGTGTTAGCCACAGGGAAGAGAGCAGGGACTTGTCAAACCGAGGGAGATATGGCAAACTGGATGGTGATGCCAGCCTTGTGTGACAGCTCATTCACATACGTGGACACATGCTGTAGCTCACACCCCCCAACCTGCCCTGGTCCCACGCTCCAGAGCTGTGAAAGCTGGGATGTGGAAGGAAAATGAGACTGGTGGAACCTCCCTTTAACTGGAGGCTGACTGGTGTGTGTGTGTGTGTGTGTGTGTGTGTGCGTTTGTGGTGGAGTGGGGTTCAAAGTGTCACATCAATTTGTGGCTGTGCTGCTTCTGAAAGAGGCTAACCCCACTGCCACTTAAGTTTAGCCTGTCAGTGAACAGCACACTGCCAGACAGGACACATACATGCAGCAGTAAACACACACACACACACACACACACACACACACACACACACACACACACACACACACACACACACACACACACACACACACACACACACACACACACACACACACACTGCAATATGCAGACCTATGTGCTTTAGATTAGATGTGGTAATTATTTTACATAATTGAGACGTGAAACGTCTACATGCAGAATTCTATCTGACTACATAAAATCTAAGCGGAATCAGTTGTTTAACTGAAGTAAAAAACAAATGCAAAAGGACGAGATTGCATTCTTTTTTGTCCAAAACTAACTTAGAAGTCAGCTGATCAATTCCAAAGAGGTTTTAATGCATTTGCCTGAAATGCTATTTTTTAGATATCTGAGCCTTGAGTGGGACCAGTCAGCTGATGTTGAGTTGGTTGTTAGACACCACCAGGGGTGACCTGGCCAGGGCCCCGGCCCACTTTAACCACTCGTCTCCATTAACAAGCTCCCAGATATTATTACGCTCCCCTGGGACCAGACGTGCTCTAACCAACCATTTACCCTCTCCCTCTCTTTTCTACTTCTCTCACACACATCCGCCTCTCTCTGCCACCATGTTACTCTATGAAAAAAGACAGCAGAGAGAAAAATATGAGATTGATTTATTTGCTTCGGTGTTCTTTGCAATAGAGTCCTTGCTCACTCTTTCTTCGGCCTTCTCTCTCCCTCTCTCTCTTTCTTCGCAAATTGAAACCAATTAGTGGGCAGAGCACTTGTAGTGGGGAATGTAGGGCAAGCGAGGAGTAATAAAAAAGTATTGACTTTTCTGTGACTGTATGCTGCGTGAAAGGGGTGCTGCGGCCTTGTCCGACATGAAAGGAGCTCCATTAATTTCACTTATTTCACCCAGGCCCCTGTCAGAAGGCCCTAATGCATCCCAGACACACTTCTCACATGCAGGCACTCAGACGGAGCAACACTGCTCCTGCCTGGTTACCAAATTAGTTTATATTATAAATCAGCCTGAAGAAGAGTAAGGAGTGCAGGGAAATAAAGGGGTACATTTTAATTTTTGAGATTGAAAGCACAACATTTCATTCATTCATTGGTGATTCTTGTCTCTATTCTCCAATTTCTTTTTTATTAAAAGTCTAAGAAAAAACACGAGAACTAACCACAATCCTGCTCAAAAGGAAAACGTAAACAGCCACATTTATGGACAATATTTAGTGCATTGCTTACATTTTTTAATCAGTAATATTCAGTGACCTCAGCATATCAGCGACATTATAAAAAAGCCTTCAAATGAAGTATTTACAAATTGGAACCTGCAGGGTTTTTTCTGACTGTGCATTTGAAAAAAAAATGTCGGACAGCATTCACAATAAGACATGTTTAAATTCAAACACAGGAAAGATGCAACGATTTATGCAATATGCTGGATAAATGTTGCTTTATAAAAGATGATATTAGCATTCTGTCATTTAGCTCACTCTTCTGAAGGGCTGTTGTTGATTAAAGTAGTTAAAAAAGCAGAATAACTTTTGTTTGCTTCATGTGCTTCTTATACACAATTCATCATTAGGCAAATTCTATTTATTGGAATTTTTAACGGCACTGAATCTATGTGAGTGTCTAACCTTGTGTTTGCATGTAAATGCAGGCATATGAGTGTGTGTATGATAGAGGCCGACAGCTCCGATGAGTCTCCGTGTGTGTATGTGTGTGCTGAGAAAGAGCGAAGAGTGAGAGGCTATCTGGAGACAGAAACTAATCAGTGTGTGTGAGATAAGAAAGCAGCCTTTATGGTGTATGGTAATCAGCCCCCCCCCCCCCCCCCCCCCCCCCCCCCGACCTGCCACCGCCATGCATAATCACCACGACTTATTCACATGATTGATGAAATATGCGTCTGTGAAATCTGAGCCACGTTTGTTATCATCCTGTTTTCTCCTCTCTCGTTCCTTTTCTCTCAATCTTTTTTGTCTAATTCAACCTCTCTGCCCTGTTCCGTGTTATCCCTGCGCTGCAGTGGCCTAAGATGTTTGGAAGCATGTACAAACAAGAAATTACACACACAGCATGGGGTTTTTTCTGCACACATGCATGCATTCAACAACACACACACACACGCATGCACACACTCCAAAAATAATATGATCCACTGAAGCTGCAAAAACGTGTTGTCATCGTTAAACATGAAAACAGACTACAAGGATCATTTGGATGATACGTACGATAGTCATCACAAGATAAAGATATGATGTGGCAAATAAAGATTAGACAAAAGTTGCACAGTGGAGTTTTGTGAAGTTTTGCATTAACTAAAAAATGCCCAGATGCTAAGTTTTGTTCTTGTAAAGACTTTCATTCAGCACAAGTTAGTGCACATTAAAATGCATTTTACTTTTCAGTTACACTGTCAAAAAAAGTTAGAATAAAGATGGTTTCTGAAGATTCAACAATAAAAAAAAAGACATCTCGAGTCATAAAATATAGAAGAATTCCACACAGGAGACAGAATGATAAAATGGTTTCAAACGGACTTGGATCTGGGCTGAGAGTAGGTGTGAGGGGTACAAGGAGAAGGTGGGGGCCGAGACTGAGAGTAAGATTAAGACTGCGGCTGGGGCTGGTGAATTAGGGCCCGCAG